CGCGGTTTCATGCTAACCGTGAAAATAGCAAAAGTTGAGCTCCTCCAAAATAAAGTGCTATACGGTATATGAATTACTATAAATTATATTAACTGTGCAGTCTAATAATATTTTTATTTTACATTAGGTAATTTATGCAAGTGTACTGGTTACAGGCCAATCTTGGATGGGTTTAGGTCATTCTGTAAAGATTGTAGTTGCTCAGAAAAACAAGAAGAAGTAATGTTATTGTTTGTATTGTATACTATAATGCATTAATGCAGCTTAAGAATTATGGCAATAAAAGATTCATTATTGAACCATCACAAGAAGTTATATTTCCTCCAGAATTAAAAGTAATAAATTTGTTGAAAGTTAAATTAACTTCATTCATTATTATTATTATTATTATTATTATTATTATTGTTGTTATTACTAATACTGTTATTCACTCATAGTTACAACATTCAGCAATGACCTCACTGCTTATACAAGGATCAAGAACAAAGTGGTATCGTCCTATAACATTGAATGAGCTCCTTACAATAAGAGAGCAGTTTCCTGCCAATTCAGATAACATGATTGTTGCTGGAAATGTTGGAATTGGTGAGTAAACTTTTTTTATGTAATCACTGATAAATTTTTTTTAAGTGTAGACCTGAAGTCAATTACAAAACGTTAATTGCAATTACACATTTAACTACACTCCTTTGGTAAAAAAAAGACTCGATTAGAATTGCATTTATATGTATGTCATTTTGACTTAATTTTTATTACAAATACTATGTTTTGCATGAAACAGAAATTGTCACCAGGGTTTGCTTAGTGAACTCAATAGCACATTTCATGAGCTGAAAAGCACTGCTATAATGCGCCTTTAGAATAATTTTAAAAATTCATAAAAATTTAATTTTGGCTGTAATCAGCTCAAACTATGTACTCAACATCACAACATGTGAGTGTATCAAAAAATAATTAAAATAGAGAATTCTTTAATTTTTAAAAAGTTTGGTCAAAATGCCTGTACTTTAGTGCAGGGAATTTGGCCTGATTTTTTTATTTTTTGAGTAACTTTAAAAATCAGTTAAAAATTAAATTTTGATTGGAATCCACTTCACTGCATAAATATGCGTATATGCATTTTTAAAAATTATATACAAGTAAATTTTATCCTACTTTGATAAAATATCATGGCTCAGGGTTTCTATACTGAGCAAATTAAACAGCACCTCATGAGCTGGCAAGAAGCTGAGCACTATACTGAAAAACCCTGATTGAGTACATTATGGCAACTCAATTTCGAGAAAAATTCTAATCAGGCTTAAGCCTCAACTACAATTTCAATTATGTAATTGTAATAGTAGTTGTAATTTTTAATATTGTAAGTGACCTCAGGTCTGGTTCAATAGTTTAACAATTACAATGCTTATTTGTTTTTATGTGTGTAGATTGTGACAAACTAGCCAAACCTTCTATTTTAATAGCAGTTAGTTGTGTGAATGAGTTGCAAGTATTAGAAATTAATGAGAAAGGTCTACTAGTTGGAGCAGCTGTCACTATAGGACGTCTTGAAGAGAAACTAATGAAAATCATGGAGTCTTTACCTGGTAATAATAATTATTGTGAAGAACTAAATGATTTACATGTCTTGTAATTTAGAGTGAAAGACCAAATAATTTAAAGCACTTTTAGATATGCTGCATTGGTTTGCAAGCCCTGAAATCAAAAACATTGCTGTAAGTGAACATGATTATCACATAGAGTATTATTATATCCACTCTCATAGACAATAGGGGGAAATATTGTGAATGGTACTCCTGATTCTGATCTTATACCAGTATTAATTGTCACTGGTACTATTCTTAATTTTGCTTCAAAAGGTACGACATTTCATTGTATGCTTATATCTCTCAGTCATAATTTTTACCAAAAATTGAATAGTGTATGTACATGTACATGTATTTCTTTATTAGCATCATTTCAAGGTTTTGAGTTTATTTTTTCATATTTTTTGCATTTTAATTTTGGTACCTGTAGCACTGTAGGCTGTAGCATTGTAGAAAACTAGACACTAATTATATGCTAGATGGGTGTAATTTATATCCAATTACAGCTATAAATACTAATTAAAATCTTAATCAAACAAATAACTGTAGTGGCATTAAAAATATGTACTAATTTTGTTGATAATACATAGCTGCATTTAGAGAGATAGTTATGACAGCATTATTTCCCACTATGATTTCAGATACAGCATAAATGTTAAAATAACTATCATTCAAACATTGGCAAAAGCCCTGTAATAATACCTTTTACTTATAGTAGCACCATTTTTCATTATTTTTCATATACTTGTAGGTTTTGCAAACTGATATATTAATAGATGTTGGGGACAGCTTGAATCCAGCTATTGATATTGGGCAAATTGAAGATGCATTTATTCAGGGATTGGTTTGTTTGATGGAAATCTTTATACTGACAGTCCTACTACATATAAAATACCAGGCTGTAGTGATATACCTATTCAGATGAATGTTACACTTTTGGATAATTGTCCTAATAAGAAGGCAATATTCTCATCTAAAGTCAGTTGTAATACATGCAATATGATAGAGACAAACTTAATTATTATTGGTAATTATCTAGGCTATTGGTGAACCTCCATTGTTCCTGGCATCTTCAGTGTTTTTTGCTATCAGAGATACTGTCAAGAGTGCTAGAGAAGAAAAAGGAGTTGCTGGATACTTTGAATTTTTAGTCCAGCCTCAACTGAGAGAATAAGATTGGCTTGTGAAGACCAGCTCAATAGTTTGAGCAGACATTTTGTGTCAATTTATAATTATTTTAAGTTATTTTTCATGGTTAATGAGCTATTAAAAGTATGTCATTTGCATAAGGCTCTGCTCCAAAATGGAAAATATAGTAATGTCCTATTTGTTACAAACATAATTATACCATGCAAAGTACCTCCAAACAAGGCCTACTGAATGATGACTTGGGGATCATCACTTTCTGGATATTATTACATAACCGCCAACTTCCAAGATTCACAAACAAGGACACTTTGAGATAAGGATCCCTCTAGAACATGATAGATTAAGTGTAAAATATTAGCTCTACTATCATGATGATAATCCAGACTTCCATTTTTGCAGTTTATCTGGCAAATTTTGAAAAAAATCTGTTATAAACCAATAACAATTGCATTGTATTAAGGAAGCTAGGGATCATGGGATGGTAGGAAACAAAGTTAGTAAAATGGACATCAAAAACAAGGAAACTAGGCCTAGGGATGATAGGACATTAAAGAGAACGTGTGTATACAAAAGAAAAGGAAGACAAAATTTAAATTATTTTTATTAGTCTATGTGTGTATAGTATTTTTGAACAGCTATTTTAATATTTATTTATATGACAGGTGTCATAATCAGCGAAAAAAATGCATCCATCCTTATCCAGTGCTATGCTCCAAGGAGACCTGAAATCGAGTTGACTTGTTTCATATCAGGACTCAATATGTGGAGGTAAGATTTATTGTAACTATTGTAAACTGCTACAAAGATATATCCTTCATCATTAATAGCAATACCTGTAGGATAATTAAAGTTAACAGCTCGATTATTGTAGGTATAGAGGTGAGTTCTACTATCAGGAGAGAAGACTTGAACATGAAGTTGATTCCAAATGGTAACGTGTATCTTTCCTTCGTTATCAACTGCTACATCAGTTGCATTACCATCGCATTGCATGACTTGTACAAATGTACCATCTTCTTTAAACACTTGTACTCTTTTGTTGCAGTAATCAGCTATTAATATATTACCTTTACTATCAGTAGACATACCACGAGGATTAGAAAATTGCCCAATTCCATTGCCATGACTACCAAACTGACCAATATACTGACCAGTAGTAGCTGAGAAATATACTGCACACAATGAAGATTGTTATCAGACACATAGAGCCTGTCTCCTACCAGCAATAAACCCCAAGGATTTTGAAATTGTCTATTACCATTACATTAAGATCCAATCCTTCTTACTGCAATACCATCCTCACTAAATACTTGAACAAACCCATCTCTACTACCAGCAAATACTTCACCGTTAGTATGAACAGTGACACCAGTAGTACCGCTTCCCAACTTAAAGGATCTCTGGTTAGTTAGTATGGTATACCGTATAGCGGGATTTATTGACGAAGGTTTTATTTTGACAAGTTGATGATTTAAAATAAAACGTCAAATTTAATAACCATCAAAAATTTTGTACTTTGTGCCACGTGTATGCGAAGGTCACTATTCATCAAATTAAAACTCGCCAACCGGAGAAATTTACTGTTTTCGTCAAATTTTTTACTCGTCAATAAATCCCGCTATACGATAGTCTCTTGATGCTTTTACTGACAGTTGATAAGGACTGCCTTTAATATGTTGCCCTTTTATAGTCACTGATAGCTCATATTGACCAATACTTTGAGTAGTTTCGCGAGCCAGACCATTCCCCAGCCTACAGTCTTGAGGTGTGCATGATACAATGGCTGTGTTGTTATCATTAACTATAACAACTCTACCCTCCTCTTTACTCCCATCACTTTTGATTCAAAAGTGATGGGAGTAAAGAGGAGGGTAGAGTTGTTATAGTTAATGATACCAAATTTGATAAAGGAAGTCTTCAAAAAGCGTGCTACTTTATCAATGTCTGGTGGTAGAGCCACTTTAAATTTCCTTTCTTTCTTTACTGTTGCCAATGGAACTGCTAACCCACTATCAATGGAAAACGTTGATGGATCTACAAGTACCTTGAAGACACCACCAAATTGATTTATCTGACTGCTAATCACATTAGTGCCTAAAGGCGCTAAAATAAGTTCATTTTCTTCTACACTGTATTTCCAGAGGTAGTTTCTTATACTCTTCAATGCAATTCTCTAGTTGATTAGTGATTAGCTTTTTAACACTGAGAATTTCACCTGGATCAGTACGCTCACTCACTGATGATACTAGATGACAACCACAAGAAACCTGTTTTACCAGTTTACGAAACCCGTCCAACTGCTTCATGACGGAACTTCTCTTAGCGTTAGCAATCTCTTCAGTCTCCATTAGTAGATCATTGCATCTCTTACCTAAAAGAGCTTTAAGCTCTTCAAATGTTTCCTGGATTTCCTTGGTTACTTCTTCTTTACGTGTTGCTATCTGCTCTAGCATTTTTTCTCCATTAGCAATAGCTTCAGTGATTGGAGGAATGACTTCATCACAACTAGCCACACTTTGCTTTTAATACATTGCATGATGCTTCACATTCTTCTTTATATCCTTTATACTCATGGCCTTGATGGTCAAGCAAAATGCAATCACGACAGACAACTTTCTCACAATTTTTGCAATAAAATTTAAGCTTTTCATTAGAATGCTGAGCACAATTAACTGCTTGATGCGTAATTTTGGGGAGGTCATTGCTTTGAAAATCCTTTGTCGCACTTGTATCCATTAACTCATGATGAACTGTTCCTTGCTTGTGCTTGTGGCTTCTCTTGCAAAGGTCACAAAAAATAAAGAGCAAGCAGGACAAAAAAGACTACAGCTGCATCACTGGAATCATCAACGCATGTATACTCGTCACACAAGATGCTTTTTTTACTAATAAGTTTATCTTTAATGAAAGCTTCTTTTGATTTATGCTCGAACCAGGTAAATTAACGCTAGTGTCGCACGTTGGACACTTTAATGAGGTATCAGCACTACTTTCCTTCTCTTTAGCTTTTATTAGACACTTCTTACAGAATGAGTGAAGACAGGGAAGCATGAGGGGGTCAGTGTAATACTCTGAACAAACCTCACAAGTCATAGTGATAGCTGGACTTGTATTTTCTGCCATTGTTGCCTATAAAAATTGAATAATCTAAATGACAGATTATGTATAATATCTAGATTGTTGCTTTTCCCCGGCTTTTCTTCAAGACAATGCAGAGACCTTTAACTCCCATGCAATTAAGTTGAACAAATTCTACCATAATCACGTGTCAAATTGGTTGACCATAAATTATAATGTTTAGACTAACTTTAGTTAGTGGGGCGAGCAGCGAGCTCAATCAGCTCATCAGGCTCGCCCCAATTATTTTATTTTTATGCATAGATTTTGCAATTTGAGCTGACACTGAGAACATGAAGGCTACTAGCGCTCGTACCTTTCTGCTTGTATTCGTTGTCTCTTCACTAGTGGCTTATGTACAGGCTCTCACTGAGATATACATCTCGTATAATGGATCTGATAAAGCTCCGTGTGGCTCTTCTGTCTCCCCCTGCTCGTCTCTTTCAAATATATCTCACATGAAGAATGACACGGTTATCATCATTGAGGGAAGTATTGTGTTGGATCATCTCATTGAAATTAATCTGATACGCAACTTGACTTTTACCTCTTTATCTACTAGTAAAGAAATGGCTGCCATTAATTGTGTGTGCCGCCCTCAAGATGATAGCTGTGGTTTGATTAAGGATTGTCAAGATGTCACCTTCAACAATGTAAGTGTAATTGGGTGTTCTATGTTACACAAATTAAATGCACAGGGTACATATCTCTACCGATCTGGCATTATGATCAATTCAACTACTAATATACTACTGAACACTAAAAATACTCTATAGTATTGGTACTGGTTTGTTATTGATCAATTCAGCTGGGACTATTGATATAACAAATTGTACTTTTGCAAACAATTCTATACCACATGCGTTACAGAATGATTCAAATGGTATAATAGTTCATGGTGGATCTGGTCTAATGATACTGATATCAGCTTGTGATGTCACAGCTAAGAACTGCTCTCATGCATCAACATCAGCTAGTTACACCATACAGGGTACAAAGTTTAATAACAACACCAATAACCTTACAAGTATGAATAGTAGGGATTGGCTATTTAGTTATGGAGGTGGACTTGGCATTCTGTTAGTATGGAATGTGCAAGGAAATACTTTCCATATAGAACTCTCCAATTTTACTAGCAATAAAGCCAATGTTGGTGGAGGAATGATACTTCATTGTGAAAAACATTGTTATAATAACACTGCAATAATTAAAAATAGTTTCTTCTGCTATAATTCCCTCACTATTCCTTCTTTTGGTGGTGCTGGGTTAGCTACAGGTATTGCTTTTCATTCTGAAAGCATGCCACTTAACAACAATGTGACAATT